CTCTCACCTCAAAAATTTACAATTTCTAAAACATCACCAATTTTAAAATAACGATGGGACGTTTGGCAACGCCACGATCATCATGCGCCGTGCGTACAGGCGCCACGAATAATCGTAACCATGACAACATCGCGCCAACAGCACGTGGGCCTTCCAACGACAACTGCCGACAGCGGGACGACCGACCGCGTGACGTCGCGCGAAGCGTACAAACATATATCTCGATCTCACTTTTTGTCACAACAACACTTATTACACATCGATAGTTCCGTCTCTCTCTCTCTCTCTCTCTCTCTCTCTTTTTCTGTGCAAGCAGTAAGCAAGAGGGAGAGAGATGTCCACTAACACGTTCGATTTTTAGTCGGCGTTGCCAGGCCTAGGGAAATTTCTCTATGTCTAGGAAATTTAGGGTCAGCTTACATAGGAAATAGGCGATTTTCATTTAATTTACAATACTTATAATTAAATTTTTGTGCCAAATGAATTCTTGTTGTTTAGAGGTTAGTTGTACTTGTACAAGGGACTCGTAACTAATTTTTTACTTTATTTCTAAAATGCCCTGTTTATACTTTATTTCCTGTTATTATTACTGTTTATTTTTTAAATAAAACTATCGAGGAAATTCTGAAAAGTGAAAATGAATGTGTATACAAACATGTAGATTAAATACATACACAACAGATGAAGATTAATTATAATTATAATTATCTACTTCCTGATACATTCCACAGTATTAAATATACAGTAGGTTAGAATTACACTTTTGTGTAACCAATGTATGTATGCCTGTGTGTGTATGCGAGTGTGGTGTGTATGTTTGCTTGTTTATCGAAACGGAAAAAATTGCACATTACACGGAATATCTAAATAGTAGCTTCATGCATGGAAACAGTTTACTAAAACTTGCTTTGCATGCGTTAAATTTAATGTACTATGACATTTTAAAGCACCTACACAACCCAACGGTGTTTGGTAGGTATTACATAGAAAAATACTTAAAGCATAAAGGTGATGCTATAAATAGCAAGTACCAAAGGACATACTAATGAAAGCTGACTTCACAAGTGCAAAAAATTGCATGTGGATGATGATAGCGAGTTTTATTGTTATATCTTTAATACAATCAATAAAAATTAACAATAGTAATGACTGGTGATGTGTTTGTATTATTTGAGACACCAACATTCATTTTATTTAGAATTGAAGGTTTTAAGAAGTGAAGATCTAAAACCGATTTTTTAAGAAAACACTATAATTAATTAAAGAAACAAAATTTAAGTATTAAAAACTGAAGAATTTTCCTCGGAAATGCAGTGACTAAAATTTCTTAATCCCTTACTAGTTAAATACCAAATTATGGACAATGTATCGCCATCTATCGAAATTTTCTACTAACTTTAATGCCTATTTCAAATGTTCGTCACATTTTCTTTTATTTTTTGCATCTTTTTCGAAATATCACAGTTATAGCAAATAATAGCTTTGGTCAAATTCTGAAATACAAATTTTAGGTGTACATGGGTCTATAACAGTAGTGAGGAACCTGGGATCCTCATGAAGACTAGCCTTTAAATTGTATGAATGAAAAATGGACTCACCCTATAAAATTAATCAAAAAGTTGTGAAGACGATTTTTAAACTCTTATCTGTCCTGGGTCCTTTTTGCTTTTTGTTTTAGATACACCCATGATAACTGTTACTATTTCTTGTGCCAATAATATCAAGACCTTAATCAATATTTATATATGTATAATAAGGAAACGGAACCTATACGCTGGAATTATTTAATATTTTTCTACAATTACTATTGTTACTGTCGATTGCTAACAATGGTAAGCAGCGTGTTCGTATTTTGTAGGAACGTTAATTAACAATAGGTTAAATGCTGTCCTTGTCATTCCCAACAAAGACATGATACCTACTAACTAATTACATACCTTTATATGTAATATGCCTCATGTGTACAGTACATTGTACAATGCGTACCCTATTGAAAGTATCGACACGTTCTAATGTAGGGGCAATGTCGAGGTTTTGCTACCATTAATTGCCTCATTACTGTCTGACTTTTCACACTAATTAATATCTACTGCACATTCATCAACCTTTTTTTATAATTGTGAACGTATACGTATAGATACGGCAAGTTCGAAATTTCATTAACTTTTGCATTCGATATTGGCGGACCTTTTCGTAAATTACGAAAATATTAATTCGGCTATTAACCGATGTGTCTTGCTATAAAACCAGGAATGAACAGTAATTTTTATAAAAAGTAGAATGTATAAATCGATAAAAAAGCGGGAGTTTTTGTCACTGCGCTATCCAAGGTGAAAGTTCATGAAATTCTAAACTACCTCTACGTATATAGCACGAAACACAAAAAGGGAGGTGCGGATAATAATTAAACTAACTAGATAACAATAAATTACGTATGTAATTAATATACTATAACAGTTGTGTTTCTGTAAAACACACTTTGTAACATTTTATGATTTGCCAAAGTATTTTCCAGAAAAGGTATCTAATTAATTGTTTTGGACGCATATCATCAACATAAGGTTTTCAGACCTAAGGCTGGTTAGACACACTCCTGCACTTCTTCCTTTACTTTCTGAGCTAATTATTTTTCTAAAACTAGAATATCCTAATATTCTAAATAACCCTTCGTGCCTCAGAAGGTGTCCTACCATACTGACCTTTGTTCTCTTGTTCTTTCAAATATCTCCTCTTCGCTCTTTCCCTACTTTTTCTTCCCTTGTATACCAGTATTTTTATTTTACTTTTATACATCACCGTTTGGTCAATACCTCTTCCATTTTAAATAAGACTACCTCGAGTTCCTTGCTAGATGCTAATTATTGCTATATCAACAGCAAATCTAAACATGCCTGTATATGTATCCCTAAAGTTGTCCTGTCTTTAATGGTTTTTATCGCGTCTTCGATGTATGTACATATAGGTTAGTGTGCAACCTTATCTGACGCCCTTCCTAATATGTATTTAGTTCTCTAATTAGTTAATTAATGATAATGTATTATAGTAGTTGTCAAACTGTAAAACAGTAGAAGACTTTTGTAGCGTTTTATGATTTACCAAGTAAGTGTTAATTTTTTGACATACACAAATGAATTTTATTCTATTCAGAAAAAATAAACGGTGATGAACAACAAAAAAAAGAAACTCACTTTCTCTATTGGTTAATGATTGTAGTATAACGTCACCTGTGCCAGGAATTCTGAGGAGACACCAAAGGAAATACTTTGGCAGTGAGTCAGTAAGTTATAGTCAGTAATAGCAGAGGGCTTCTTCGGTCTTGCTATGATCCCACAGTTTAAAAAATAACATCTTTTGTTGAACAAGATTACTTATCGAGTTTACGATCTATCTTATGAACATTCTTTAAACGCCAATATTTGGGATGACGCAGCCCGCATTCCATTATGCTTTACAACATCGGACATATTTCGAGGAACTAAGTCTTCTACCTACGGTGTTAAGACTAATAAAAAATGATGAATGGAAGAGTCTAAAATTTTTCGTTTGAACTCAATTTTTGTTTAGTAATTTTAGGATAAATAAAAGAAAGGCGGAAATACAAAAACATGATAGATGAATAAGGGCAAAAAAGACTGGGAAAGAAGTGGGAAGTAATTAGGAAGATCTAAGAAACAGTTGATTGATAGGATGTACAAAGAAGTAGAAGAAAAGTTTGAAGTAGGTAAAACCGATGAGGTTTATAAAATAATTAAAAGGAATTTTAGAGATATAGGGTACAGTAGTAAAAATATAAGAAACGAAGTAAGGGTCATTTTGATAGAAAATGAAGAAAAGGCAGATAGGTAGAAAGAATATTTAGAGAACCTATACGCAGGCCATGAGTTAAGAGATATATTAAAGAAGGAAGATAGTGTGGATATAGATGAGCTAGGTTATCCCATAATGAGAGAAGAGTTCGATGTAGCATTAAAAAACTTAAAGAATAATAAGGCGCCAGGTGTAGNCGAGTTCCTTGCTAGATGCTAATTATTGCTATATCAACAGCAAATCTAAACATGCCTGTATATGTATCCCTAAAGTTGTCCTGTCTTTAATGGTTTTTATCGCGTCTTCGATGTATGTACATATAGGTTAGTGTGCAACCTTATCTGACGCCCTTCCTAATATGTATTTAGTTCTCTAATTAGTTAATTAATGATAATGTATTATAGTAGTTGTCAAACTGTAAAACAGTAGAAGACTTTTGTAGCGTTTTATGATTTACCAAGTAAGTGTTAATTTTTTGACATACACAAATGAATTTTATTCTATTCAGAATAAATAAACGATGATGAACAACAAGAAAAAGAAACTCACTTTCTCTATTGGTTAATGATTGTAGTATAACGTCACCTGTGCCAGGAATTCTGAGGAGACACCAAAGGAAATACTTTGGCAGTGAGTCAGTAAGTTATAGTCAGTAATAGCAGAGGGCTTCTTCGGTCTTGCTATGATCCCACAGTTTAAAAAATAACATCTTTTGTTGAACAAGATTACTTATCGAGTTTACGATCTATCTTATGAACATTCTTTAAACGCCAATATTTGGGATGACGCAGCCCGCATTCCATTATGCTTTACAACATCGGACATATTTCGAGGAACTAAGTCTTCTACCTACGGTGTTAAGACTAATAAAAAATGATGAATGGAAGAGTCTAAAATTTTTCGTTTGAACTCAATTTTTGTTTAGTAATTTTAGGATAAATAAAAGAAAGGCGGAAATACAAAAACATGATAGATGAATAAGGGCAAAAAAGACTGGGAAAGAAGTGGGAAGTAATTAGGAAGATCTAAGAAACAGTTGATTGATAGGATGTACAAAGAAGTAGAAGAAAAGTTTGAAGTAGGTAAAACCGATGAGGTTTATAAAATAATTAAAAGGAATTTTAGAGATATAGGGTACAGTAGTAAAAATATAAGAAACGAAGTAAGGGTCATTTTGATAGAAAATGAAGAAAAGGCAGATAGGTAGAAAGAATATTTAGAGAACCTATACGCAGGCCATGAGTTAAGAGATATATTAAAGAAGGAAGATAGTGTGGATATAGATGAGCTAGGTTATCCCATAATGAGAGACGAGTTCNCGAAGTAAGGGTCATTTTGATAGAAAATGAAGAAAAGGCAGATAGGTAGAAAGAATATTTAGAGAACCTATACGCAGGCCATGAGTTAAGAGATATATTAAAGAAGGAAGATAGTGTGGATATAGATGAGCTAGGTTATCCCATAATGAGAGACGAGTTCGATGTTGCATTAAAAAGCTTAAAGAATAATAAGGCGTCAGGTGTAGATGGGATACAGGGGGAAATTCTAAAACATGCAGGACAAAAGGTTAGAGATCGTATGTTTAAGCTAGTTAGCCACATTTACGAAACGGGGAAAGTCCTAGAGGATTATAAACGGAACGTAGTAGTAACATTACCTGAAAAGAGGGGCGCGGATAGGTGCGAGACATTTAGAACAATTAGCTTAACTTCCCATGCGTCAAAAATTTTAACTAGAATTATACAGAGGAGCATGATGAATTTGAAATTGTTTGACATATTTATTTTGACGGACCTTTCAACAATTTACAAAAAAATGCAATAAACTTTTCTTGTTTCGTACACAACGGATTTCAGATTTTTCATAATAAACTTTTCATAAAGTATCTCTTTGGAATTCACCTTCCAATTTCTTGCTGCTACTTTCTATGTAAGTTAACAAAATATTTAACATTTATTAAACATATCTTTGATATTTTCTACTTTTTTTTTCTAGGAAGATATAGGTACTAAATAAATTGACAAATTTAATTAAATATTTTTTTTACAGGTTTTCTCGACATCATTGGAGGCATTACCGGTGAGTTTATTGTTTTTCATTTGTTATTATAATTCCAATTTAATTGTAAAAGGTTCTAAATCTACAGAGAACTTTTTATTTACCTATAGCATTTTGTTTTAATAGCGTTGGTTGATTAACTCAAAAGTAATAGCAAAAATTCTCTTCCAAAAATTGATTTATGATGCACCTATCCCCTATGATAACGTTTTATACCTACTACAAGTATATAAAAAGAATTAACGATAACTAAGTAGGTACAAGTAGGTACGTATCTGTATTTCAACATGGTCAAAGATGTCGGAGACTGGGCCAAATGTAGTCCAATTTAAGTGGGTTAATTAGCCTGATGCCGAATCATCGAAATTTCCGTTTAAAACTCACGTTGTGTTTATGTGTAATGTACCAATAGCCTTTCTCTTAAGTAAAAGAATCGTCCAGTCGGCGATGAAGAGAAAATATATTGAATACAGGTGTTGTATTACGCAAAATCTTCCTGGAAATAGATAGCTTGTTAACCTTTTATTTCCTATTAGTAAACATCTATTTAATTCACATGGTATACTAAGCATTTGTAAGAACGCATTAGGGAATTCATTATTTGCTGGCTAATTGGCGTGGCTTCTCTTATGTTATGTCTACAGCTAAAAGTATCGGGTTGTTCAGAAAGTCATTTCGTTTTTTCCCGACAAAGGATTTAATTGTATTCTTTTGCACCCAACTTCACATTTAAGCCATACAATTTTTATATGCTTTGAGAGCTCATACAGCAAGGCTTGTGTGTGAAAAATTCCAATTAATTCTACGCAGTAGTTTTTGGTTGGTGCCCTTTTAAATATGGAGAGCGATAAGCAGCATTTTCGACATATCTTACTGTTTTACTACAGAAAGGGTAAAAATGCTGTTCAAGCCAGAAAGAAATTGACTGATGTGTATGGAGAAGGTGTGTTGACAGTACGCCAGTGCCAGAACTGGTTCGCTAAATTTCGATCCGGCAATTTTGATGTCGAAGATGCACCACGTTCGGGAAGGCCGGTTGAAGCTGATAAAGACGCGATAAAGGCATTAGTTGATGTGAACCGGCGAATAACAACACGTGAGATCGGATTGAGGTTAAATTTATCAAATTCAACAGTTTATGACCACTTGAAAGGCCTGGGATTATCCTCGAAGCTCGATGTATGGGTTCCCCATGTTCTCACAGAGAGAAATCTGTGTCGCCGCATTGACGTCTGCGATTCGCTTCTCAAACGTCACGAAAATGATCCGTTTTTGAAGCGCATCATCACTGGGGACGAAAAATGGGTTGTATACAACAACGTCAAACGCAAGAGGTCATGGAGCAAAAAAGATGAACCGGCTCAAACCATTTCCAAAGCCGATATTCACCAAAAAAAGGTGATGCTGTCTGTTTGGTGGGATTTTAAAGGAATCGTTTTTTTTTAGCTTTTACCGGATAACACAACGATTAATTCGGAAGTCTACTGTCATCAGCTGGACAAACTGAATGATGCACTTCAACAGAAAAGGTCAGAACTAATCAACAGGAAAGGTGTAGTGTTTCACCAAGACAACGCGAGACCTCACACAAGTTTGGTCACTCGCCAAAAGCTTTTACAGCTTGAATGGGATACAATGCTACACCCACCATATTCTCCAGACCTGGCACCATCGGATTATTATTTGTTCCGGTCACTCCAAAATTTTTTAGACGGTAAAACCTTCACCTCAAATGAGGAGGTCAAAAACCTCCTCGATCAGTTTTTTGCCAGCAAAGACCAAAAATTTTATGAGCGTGGAATTATGCTACTACCAGAAAGATGGCAAAAGGTGTTGGACCAGAACGGTCAATATATAATTTAATAAAGTATTTGTTTATTATACGAAAACTGTCTTTCATTTTCACAAAAAAAAAAACGAAATGACTTTCCGAACAACCCTATAGCATGCATTATCACATGTTCTTTTCAGTTTCATGAAAAGCGAAGTGCAACAAAATTCTAAGAACATCTGCATCTACATACCCAAATTTCTTCTATAACTGAAAGTCTTTTTTAACTCCAAGATCTTTAAAATCTATATTTGACTATCACCTAATAATGTAGGTCTCTGCTTAATCGTCATGTCTCAGACAGTAGTTAGTTGTAGGAATATGAAATCAAACGCTAGACATTTCTTTCACCGAAATCTTCTCCATCTTTGGGCCTACGCAATCTCCAATAACGGTTATTACAGATTACTATACAACAACACCGTATGGAGAAAAGTAGCTGATCAATTAAACGAGTTTCTGAAGCAGCAATAGCAATAAAAACAACAACATTATACAACTTCATGTTTTTAGTGTCTAGAATATTGTTTTTATAACCTGACCTACGTTTGTGATTTTATTACATCGAAAACTCGTCAAATTGAAAGTAGCACCGACTCATTAGGAATTAGGATAAACAGGTCTAAATGTAAATTTTTAAGAGAAAGAGCAAGAAGAATACAGAGATGCATTTTTCATTATTACTTTGGTTGTTGATTACAACCTAGTTACCGCATATTATATTTAATTTCTGATTTCTATTCATCAACTACTGCCCTTTGATGTTCATATTGTTAAGACTTGATTACAAAATGGCGTCTGCTGTCTACCATATTGAATTTTCGTGACTTCAACCATTTCCATTACACTTATGTTATAAGACAATGAACTGGGATCAAACCCTAGATTTACTATGATTCTTTTACTTCGCTATAGTCGAAAAAGTATCTAGCCTTTCATTTGTTTTTTTTTTTTCGTAAATGGGTTACACCAAACAGCTAGATAAAAAAACACTGGCTGACTCTGAAATTACCGAAAATTACTGAAGCACTCATCATTTTTCCTTTTTTAAAACATTTATGTATGTATTTTCAACTCTTTTTTTTTTTTCAAGTTTACACACCAATATAAACTGAAAAAGTAAAGGAGTAGCATATAAAATACAATAAACGTTTCGTTTTATTTTTATCTTCACATTAAGCATGTCTAGACACTACTTATTTTGTTTCGAATTACTTCATTGGAGTTTAACGTAAAGTAGAACAAACTTAATCGGATTATAAACATTTCTTAATAACATAAAACGCCTTTTCTTGCATTAACATAGTTTCCATTTTTTTATCCTGTTAAACAAGCAAACTGTGTAAAGACCTTATGAAATGCTTTCCGTATTGCATGTTATAAGATAACCTTTTCGACAATTTTTTTTTTCGATTCTATATTTTAATTTTTGACCACGTTATTACCAAGAAATCTCTTGAATATACAACTCGAAATATTTATTATCTAAGAACTAGTTTTTTATTGTTTTATTTTATTTTTTTTAATAATTATTTGGTTTTATTTTATTTTATACAAATAGTTATAATTTTTAACGACTAGACGTCGTGACCAAAGTGCTCAGCTTTTAATGCAACTTAAAAGAAAATTGGAGATATTAAAATCAGGGAGTATAATATTTAGTAATATTTAGCAGTAGCTATTTGTTTTTGTAGTTTTGTAATTGAAATTGGTTACGTTCTGATAGATGTTTCAAGGCGTTTTTCATTGGCAAATTCGGTAGTGTAACCTTCAAGTTATGACTCTTTAAATATTACAAGCCTATCGAGTCCAAAGCTTATAGTTCTGTACAATCACATGATACACGATAAATAAATGTTCCTGGTTATTATCTAAAAATATTAGGGTGTGGCTCAGTCAATTAAAAAATAAATGAAAATGTGCAGTTTGAAAGATAATATCATAAATTATTAGTTATTCATCATCATAAGGTCGTCAGTCCTAAAACTGGTGGGACAGGCACCTTCACTCTCTTCTATCCTGAGCTAATCTTCGCATTTTACCTAAAACTAGAACATCCGTTATCCTTAACTATTTGCAAACAGTAATCAAATCTAATAACCTATCTCGTCTATTTCTTGTTGACTTCCTTAGAATCCTCTGTTCTCCTAATCTTTCTAATACCTCTTCATTTCTAATCATCTATCCTCATCATTCGCCTGTAACACCACATTTCGAACGCATCTAACCTTTAACAATCCTTTTCAAATTCCTAAATTAACCGTTCGCCAGCATCGAAGTGGCTTCTATTTATTGAAGGCAATTCGACTGTGCCTTACACTTTGGTTTGTTATTTATTAAAGAATTTTTTTTTATTTCATGGATATAATAGTAAGCTTGATGGAATTATGAAAAAAGGATACATGAAAAATTCTCATTGTTTTTGAGATCGATGTTCGCTTTTTCTTAATGTGTTGAAAACCTGATTTACTTATTAGTAGTTTATTAAGGTATAGATATTTTATTTATTTATTCAAAATTCAATATCTAAAAGAGAATGAAAATAAAATTTTTATTTAAATTATGCGTTAAGTAAATAAATTACTTATTAAATCTCGCTGAATGTTTTTTTTTAACTTTTACATTCTTACATAGTTAGTTGTATTTAGTAATGTCGAATTTTACTGTTTGTCAGCATTTATATATTTTTAAATGCGTTTTTGTAATATATTAAGCGGAGATACTAATGATAGGTTAGAACAGTAACCCACTACGTTACAACCAATATCGTTGTGTTATACGTATACCTTCAAAAGCCCTTTATGGGTAAGTACCTTCTAGGGTTTCACGCTCAACTAAGAACCCTTATAGCTCAAGTCTGTCCTTGTATTTGTCACATTTATGTACACAAAAAAGTAATGGTAATATTTTTGAACTGGAAAAATATTGTTTTAAAGAGTATACCTACTCAACTTTTTTTACTTACCCCACCGAGAGGGTGGTTTTATAAGCTTTCTTAAATTTAACTGAAAATATTTTAATTCCTTTTGATTTATTTCAATCGTTTATTCATGAAATGTTATAATTTCTTTCAAAGTTGTTATCAATGAATCGATCCAACTTCTTCGTCCATTTTTTTCCTTTCACTTGTTTTTTTATTTAGCTATGATTATAATTATCCTGGAATTTTCTTTGAATGGTTAACTTTACA